TGCAGGTACTGCTCTGCAACACCTGAACTGACTCCTGCAGTGTGGCCATGCATTCCAGGGCTCACTGCTAACTGCTTCACAAGTACTTCATTTGCTGTGCATGTCCTGGGAGCAATCTGCAATAACCCCAGATTTCTGCAGGTGCACAGCCTTCAGGGCTTTACTTACTATTTTGATTTAACATATTTTTATGCATTTTTCCATTTCAACCTTTTCCCAAGCCCAGGGCAGCACTGGCTCTGTGCAGCCACCTGCCACAGGGGTGATGCCACCCGTGCAGTCCCCACTCACCACCACAGTCACTCCCTCGTGCACCATGGACGGCGACGCGTACAGACTCGTGGAGTATTTCCCCACGTACAGGGTTGGCCTGGAGGAAAACACTCAGTGTTAGCAGTAGGCACATGGATGCTTGACCACCTTAGCTAAACCTGGGTGGCACAATGCTGCAGAACAAGGGCACAGGTTTCCCCAGTCACCAGCACTTCTCTCGTGAGAAGCCTGGAGCAGTAAACTGCAGCAGTGCTGTCCTCTGAAACTGTTCTTCACTGTGGAAGCACTGTTAGCTCATTATTCACAGCACAGTTATTCACTTGACATAATTCATGTCCTGTTTCTGTGTTTTTCTATACTGGGTGGCACAATGCTGCAGAACAAGGGCACAGGTTTCCCCAGTCACCAGCACTTCTCTCGTGAGAAGCCTGGAGCAGTAAACTGCAGCAGTGCTGTCCTCTGAAACTGTTCTTCACTGTGGAAGCACTGTTAGCTCATTATTCACAGCACAGTTATTCACTTGACATAATTCATGTCCTGTTTCTGTGTTTTTCTATATATTTGCCATAAAGCACTGTTAGCTCATTATTCATAGCACAGTTATTCACATGTCCTGTTTCTGTGTTTTTCTATAACTGCTATTTGCCAAAATGCTCTGCACCATCTTTATAATGTGAAAAGCTTCACATTAGGAACAACAAATTAATTCCACATTGTAAGAAACTATTCCACACAGAACATCTGAGAGAATTACAAACAAACACTTGCTAAGGTTGTGATAAGTTGGGGGTTTTTGTCTCTGACTTTAGACATTAAAAGATCAAATGTTCTATAACAGCTGGAGAACTAGAGCTGCTTCTCTGTATTCTTTTCCCCATCTTGCAACCCGAGAGCAGCTGAGTGTGCACAGATAAGGTTCTAATGCCAAGCTCTGTCGGATGGAGGACGAGGGGAGTACGATGCTCACGTCAGTTTGCTCTTGGTCTCCGTTTCCTTGGGGAAGGGATATTTCCACTTGGTGATGTGTCCAACCTCCCCAGACATGAAGGTCAGGTACCGCAGGGTCTCGATGCCCACGTTGGTGTGCAGGACCTTGCGCAGCCCCTCGCGCTGCCAGATGTAAAACGCCACCACGGGCGACGCGTAGTTCTGGATCCACAGCACGTCCCCAGAGTCGCTGTCCACCGTCACCACCAGCCCGTCCCCGTTGGACACGAAGTGGGACATCTCTGCAACACACCTGCAGTTACCTGCACTGCTGCAGACACAGCCTGAGCAACACCCTGACACTGGCACCTGCAGAGCTGGCACAGTCAGGCACTGGGGTTTGCCCAGTGGGCACCACAGCTCAGGTTTGCTGCCTCTCCTGCCCTTTCTCACCTGCACCTTCTGAGACTCAATTTACCCAAAGTTACCTAACAGATAGCTACTTATAATGATGGAATTCTAATATTCAGATATAATACAATATAACAATAAATATATTATTGTGCGATTATAACATTTACATACTGCAGCGTGTGAAGGATAAGAACTGGCAAAAGCAGATCAGCTGCACAGGAACCAGACAGACAGTCCGAGCTGCTTATGACAGAAAGGATCAGAATATTTTTGCCTGCATGCCAAGCCCCAGTGCAGCTCAGTGCTCACTGTATTTGATGTCCTCATCAGGCAGAGTGGCTGCGTAGTCGAAGTAGGTGGCATTCCATCGCAGCTCCTTCTTCTTGGTGTCATACATTGTGATCGTGTACTCTGTGAAAAGATACAGAGTCTGTGAAACAAAAAAACCTGTGAGAGAGCAGAACCCATCACCTCACAGCTGAGACACTCCCCAAAGCACCACACACACCACTGGCTGCTCTGGGAGTCCCATTTCCCCAGCACCTACAGAACCATTAACAAAGGGGATACAGAACCAGTCTGCAACACTCAGTCCTTTTTGCTGCTGGTCTCACTCTACCAGCTGTTCAGCACACTGCACTGCTAATGTCACTGGATATGCTCTGGCTCCATTTTCTCTAGGCAGTTTTTATTCAAGCTGTGTGTTACAAACGTTCACAGCTGCTGCTGGAACACATGGGTAATTAGAATGCAAATGCCACTTAGCCAGTGAGAGGAATAATGAACTGTGCCTGCTGCTCAAGTTTAAAAACCAGTGTCTGTGTGCTGCTAAAGAGTTAATGATGCTTCTGTGCACAGTCTAAAATCTTAATTGACACAAGTTTTTTTAAAAAATAAGCTGGAACACCTGAACTGCTCACAGGATCATTTGTTATGAGCCTAAACTTTAACACCCCCATTGAGCTACAGACAAAAAAGCCTATGACCTGTTCTCCCAAGATACAGGAGAGATGTCGACGGGCAAAGACTTTCTGCAAACGAGGAGGTCAAGGTTTGCTGCTTCTCCCCAGTCAGGAGGTCGACCACGTACCAAATGTCCTGCTTCTTACCTGAAAGCAGAAATTAAGCCACATCACCATTCAGCTGGAACAGCTGCACTCCCACCCAGTGCTTCAGGCTCCTTTTTCCTTAGGCTCATGCACTGGGCACAAATCAAGCATCTCACAGTCTCAGGGGGAGGAGGTTGTGCTCACCCATGTACAGGATCCCGTCTGAGCTGCGGCACGGAGACGCCTGCACCAGCTCGGGGATGGTAAATGGAAGTTTCTAGGGGCAAAGCAAACAAACAGTCAATAAAAGGTTCTTCACATTGATGTGATGGTCTCCACATTTGCTCACACAACAGGCCGAGATGTTTTTGGTTGGTTGGTTGTGTTATTTCAGTACCTGAGGACTCAAAATGTCAGGTCAAACCCAGAGCAGAGGGAGAAATGCAGGTGGAGTTGAGGAACTGCCACAGCCAAGACTCTGTGGGTTTGAGGTCTGTCTACCTACAAATGGTCTGGTTGGACACTGTGGTGTAAGTGCCTCACCAAAGATGAGCATAAAATGGTTCTCCCCAGGACTGAGCAGTAACTGCAGATGGAACCGCTGAGCAATTTCCAACTATTTTATAACAGTGATTCTTAACAGAAGTTAAATTACATTAATTTGAAAAGAGAGGAGATTACCAGAATGAAGGGAAGAAAACAGAAGTTAAATTACTTTAATTTGAAAACAGAGGAGATTACCAGAATGAAGGGAAGATCCAAAGAAATTGCTGCTTCCTGGATCCACCCAGGGATCATTCTGCAGGTTATGGTCTGGCTGTACTGGGGGGTAAGGGGAGTGGTGAGTAAATACTACAGTATTTAACTATACTTAAGCACTTAGGGGAAATCATAGCAGCTGCCAGAGGAAAAAACAACTTGTGGGAAGCCAAACAGTTCAGCTGAGTATCACCACAAAGTCTAAACATGAAAGTCCAGTGTTAGCTGTGTCTGTGGCTGCAGGGACTGTTTGAGGATCCTGCTTTGAGCAGGAGGGTTTGGAAAGTGAAGTGTTTGGGTGAGAGAGACATATCTGATTGGGATCTGATTGGGTACACCTTTCCCATCAAATCACACAGAGATTATTCAGTGTTTGGACATACCACACCCATTTTATTTGTCAGACTGGGCACTTTGTAGGGGAGAACTGAAACAAAATACTTACAGTTAAGCCTTCACTGTTCTTGCCACCAAGTGTATACAAGCTGCCATCGTTTGGGTCTGGAAGAAACGCTGGCCTAGGATTTAAGCAGCAGTTAGAAATAATTAGAAGCAAACTGTGCTTCTCTGAGAACAGGAGAGAACTATGGTCAGCACTGGCTTTACAAAGGAGTTCATCTGACATTACAGTTTTTACTTTGTATCATCATTTCATTTATTAAGTTTAATTTATTAACTGAAAGTTTTAAAATAGGAAGAAGTTTCAGGGATGATATCAGATTGCTAATGCATTTGAAAATTCAGAGGTCCAAATGTGGCAGGGAATGGCTTGGGTGAGAGCTCTTAAACAAGATCCATATACCCTTAAATGCCACAGGATTAAACTCAAACCAAACAAATAAACCCAGAGAGCACAGGGAAGGCAAGAAATAATAACAGAGGTGCCAGAACTACGTAAATTTGAGAGGTAAAGTAAACCCCCACCCAAACTACAAAAAAACCCAACCAAACCCAATCACTAATGTCTATGATTCTAAGATCAAAACCAAACCACAAAAAAGAAAGGATGTCACCACTGACTTCAGAGATATGAAGCTACAGCTCCAAATTTTCTAGCTAAATGTGAGATTTCTGCTGGATGAATCACTTTGAAATTACAACTTCAGGGTGTCACTTGAAGGTTCTGGTAGTGGTGGTGGTTGGAGCTTCTTGTGCTTCACTATTTTTAGCCTTTATCTGAGGTAAGTACAGAACCCAGAGATCACTCCTGAGCTCTGTCACTTCACAGCTGCTCAGTTGTGGCACAATTAGCACCTTTGATCTCCAAACCTGAGCGAGGGCTCCAGAGAACAAGCTGCAGACAGGATGTGTCTTCTTAGCTATTACATGCAGCTAATTATACCCTCCCTGTATCTTTGACTCCTGCAAGGTGTGGAACTTCTCTGGAACACAAACTGCTTTGGTTCAAATTAAACCAGATTTCAAGAGGTCAGTGAGCATGGAACAAGCAGCAAATGAGATAAAGGAAACAGACTTACTCTTCCACATGTATTGGCACCTGGAGCACAGGATCTGCACATAGAGAAAGAGAAGCAGTCACAACACTGCAGAGCAACTCCTCGAGCTCAGCAGACACAGGACTGAGTCAGGTCTGCAACCTGAGGGGCACAGAGTTTGGCAGTGCCACCCTCAGCAGCCTCCAGTCTGCTCCTGGGACTGGGGATGTGACATGGGAAAGCACAAAGCACCTGGAAACTTTAAACCTGGAGTTCTTTGCTCAGTTTTACCCACACCACACACCTCAAAATTACTATGAGACCTTAAAAGACCCTGAATCGTGGGATTTTCAATCCTGAGGCCAAAACTGCACAAGTTCCCTGATTTCTAAGACCCACTCTACAACTTCCAAGACAAATGTGTGAGCTTATTTAGGAGTATATTGCAAACACACCAAGTTCCCACTCAGTGTAACTTAGTCCAGGTGAAATGAGCTAAAAGAAGAAAGAGACATTAGACTCCAGGCTAAAGTTTCTGTAATCACCAACGCTTGGTGGGAAGGGAACACTCACAGTTTTGTGAAAGAAACAGCATCACAAAGCAGCAGTAAATGGCACCTGCCCCAGCTGAGGCAAGATTTAATGCCAGTCCCACAAGTGCTGCTCAAGGTAAATAAACTTTGCAAGTCTCCTGATGAACTGATTAGAGAGTGTCTCACCCGGTAAGAAAATAAACTGTCACCCATGGAGACAATGAACTGCTGCTAGACAAGAGCAGCTTTCACCAAGGGCACTTGGGCAACTCTGTCCTATCTCCAAACATCTCCTCAAAGGCTCCTGAGCAGTGACCAAGCTGCACAACATGTTTCTGAGGTGATTACTGACTGCACAGACACTGTCAGAGTACAGCACTGCAGATTTGCTTTACAATCCTTTCTAGCCAGCCGAGGCAAAGCACAAGAATATGTTTCCTGTTGGGATTATCTTTAGAAACTTTGACATTTCATTTAACACAAGGACTGTCTATTCTCTGAACTAAATGGTGCTGTGAAGTTGTCATATGAAATCACAGTATAAAACTGCCACAATCTGAATCAAGCTCCAAAGTTCCTGACCATACAACACACACACTGGAGCAGAAAAAGACAGAATGGGATTTCCCCAAACATGTCAGTATTCCAGGGTTTTTTCAAGGAATGCTCAGGAAAACCTGAACAATTGCAGGAAATTACAGAAGGCAGATTATGTTTTCTAGCAACTGACCCTGGTTTGTCCGTGACATTTGCAGCAGAGTCTGGTTAGCAATGCTTTCCTATATCTCCCTCCCTGCTCTGAAAACACAAGGAGGAATAATAATAGAGCACAGCATTTTTGGGCTTGTTTTCAGCTTATTTTCCAAGACTGGGCCACCTATTTTTATCAACAAAAAAAAGTGCTCCACTCTGCTCCAACCATCTCAGAGATTGCTGACCACACAGTGCCCCAGCAGTGACAGAACACACCCACAGAAATCTGTGTGCAATGTTTCCTTGCACTCAGCTTTCACCCCAACTTACAGTTCTGAAAGCTGTTGGGAAAATGTCACTCATAACAATTCCCAATTTCATCAACAAATGTCCCCTACACTTTGACAGATGATGCCAGAACCCCCAGGAATGTCTCTCTGCCTTGTGCTCTGTTTCTGAAGTGTTTTGTGGATCAGGTGATGTGCACAACTTATGGCAAGCCCCAACTGCTCAGGGAGTGCTGCACACAAACCTCAGCCTCACGAGAAATCCTTGAGCTTCTTTTCAGTGCCATGTCTTCAATACCTTGTGCTTCATCAGAAGGGAAAAAAATCTGCTTTTACTTGTTTCTTTAGCAAATGGAATCTGATTTACATCCAGCGATAAAAATGAGGTGGATGGAACAGATTAAGGAGTTATCACAAAGCAGTAGGAATCTTTTAATGAACAAAACCACTGATTATTCTGATGCTTCCTGCAACCTTTGAGTGCAGTGTATGAACTGCTGGAAAGCATTTAGTGTTGATTTCTGATTCTGATTAATCTCCACACATGAGGCTGTTCACAAGGAGTGAACACAAACTGATGGAGGAGTTAATTTTCTGAAGGAGCACCATCCAGCTGGACAGACAGGCTGTGGAGAGCCATTTCTCCACATTTGGAGCTACTGAGGTGATGTAAATATTCTCATTTTATTAACACTTTCATGACCCTGAAACTCAGGCTGTAGCTCTGCAAAGATCCTTTGAAGACAGACAATGAACTCTTCACACTCTCTTTCATGTGGTTTGGAACATATTCCACCTCTATTTCAAAGTTTGTTTTGATATGAGAGTTCACTCTGAGATAAAGAGAATCTTGAGTTTAATTCATTGTTGCCAGGACGTACAATGGTTCTCATATGCTTAAATACAGACTAGTAAAGAAGGAGTTGTCTTGTACCTGAAGTCACCTTTTGCTCCACAGTGGGTCAAGCAGAAAAAGTTCTTGCAAAAGTCAGAGAACTGAGGCCTTATCTCCTCCCCAGCCACTCACCTTCAAGTGCTAACATGCTGGGCTGTCCCACGTCATGCTGCTTTCAAAATTTCCCTGAACTGCAGTTCCCTGTAATTAGGTAAGTAATTCTATCAGGCCTGGTCTGTTCCAATACCAACACCAGTGGTGATAACCACTGAACAAAGCAGTAAGTATTCTGCACTGGAACAAATGCTCTGCAGAGAAAACATGACAAAACTGTGATAAAACAGCTGTGTCTGCCTTCAGCTTCCATTCCCTGCAGTGTCCTGCAGAAAGGTTTTGGTATGATATCCTGTCCTAAAGCTTTGAGTGAGGAAACAAAGCTGTGAGAACACCTCTGGAGCCTGGTGGGAGGTGAGTCAGGAGGGACATGAGCCTGTAAATATCTCCAGTGCTGGAGGGAAGGGCTGAGTTTTCTGTAGATATTTCCAACCTGTTTCCTGCAGCCTCCACTAGGGCAGTGTGTTCCTGACCCCAACACTAAAATCCTACAACTCAGCACACACCAGCTGCAGATTCTGAACTGGCAACACACACCTGTGTTAATAAAAGGACTAGTAAAATAACTGTGCTAAGAAAACAAATTAAAAGGATATTGATCCTAGACTATAAAGATTTGTTCTAGAACTCAAGAGTTTATTCACAAGTGCAGCAGTTACTGGAAACCTGTTAAGATAATGACCCCAGAGATTTAGTGAATTCTTTGGCTCTGTGACACCTCCCAGAATAACCACCCTGACCTGGCAGCAGGCAGATGTCCCAGGCCAGCTCTGCTGCACCATGGCCAGAAAACACTTGGGAGTGGGCAGAAGTACAAAACACATTCCAGACAATGGTAACCCATGTTTTGCATACATACATGGAAAAAAGCCACATACACAACTTCTGAAACTATAACCATATTGCTAAACATAATGAATTTGACTGTTCTGCATATTTCACATGCCAAGATAAAATTTGCCCCTTGACCAAAACCTGAGGCTTTTTAATGTACAAGACAAAGCTGTTTTCATCACTGCAATGTGCCTTTGGGTGGGATCAAGGACTGAAAAGGAGAAGTGGGAGATTCTGAAACACAAGTAAGTCACTGCCCTGCTGGAATGAGCTGGAAAAAACGGTTTCCTGAGCTGAGGCCCTGCCAGGAGATTTGGGCTAACGAGCCAACAAAGCCATGTCATCCTTGCCTGCTGGTGCAATTGCAGTGAGTGAGGTTGGAGATACCAACTGTGCTCTGGAATTTGCTGAGAGCAGTACTGATCTGCCACAGTTTTGTTCTGACCATCCTTACTAGCTTACAGCTATGCACAAAGACATTCCTTCTTGCCTGGGAAGACTCACTGTCATTAAAGCAGGACCTACAGACCTCAGATTTGCCCCTCCAAATCTATATATTGTACCCCATCAAGAGACACAGTCTTTATTTCTTTGCTTTATCAGGACTAGCCCACTGAAGTCCCTAGGTTATGAGTAATAAGAAATGAAAACCTTTCACCTGATTTTGGGCCATCAGGTTTTTGATTGCTACAGAGAACTGAAGATCATAAATTTCTACTGTCCCACGGTCTCTCAGGACTCTCAGCTCCTTGTACTGGTCAGAGGTGGCACCAAGAGCCTTGCCCAGCCTCAGGCCTGAGCTGTGCCATACCTTTCACTGCCCTTTCCAATGTGACTTCTGCACAAGGTGTCCCAGTGGGGCCACAGCACATGCAAAGGTGACTCTGAGAAATCAGGGGGAGGAGTGTGTGCTCTTTCTGTAAACTTTCCAATCACATCCCAGCTTTCCAAGGCCCAGGGCAGGAGCAGCATCAATCAGACCTCCTGAGAGCTGTCAGAGCAGGACCCATGGAAGCCAAGAGGAAATGCAGGCACTGACACCCTCCATGACTAAGTCCAGAGGGACAGAGCTCATTCCTAGCTGACCCATTTCTGGGCTGCTTTCTGGGGAGCACAAGTACTCAGACTGCCTTTCTTGCCAGCACCACATGAAGGCAGGAAACCCAAACATGTTATTGTGGTGATAACCACTGGCTCATTTTACTCTGGGTACGTAAGATAAGCTTCAGTGCTAAATTAAAACAAGCCACACATGGCAAGATTTTCATGTTTGTTTAAGCACTGCCTGATAATGAACACTGCCTTGGTTTTTTGGCCCAAATGAACATATAATGTATCTGAATTGCCCTTTGTTAACTACCTGCAGCTTAAGTGCAGTCATAAAAGGCTCCCTTCCTGGTGAATGCCACTGCAGCACTTCAGGTCACCTCCCCAGCTTCTCAAAGCACAGGAGCTACCACCCATGGATCATTATCTGGCAATCAGGGTGAAATGGCACCTGAAGAGCATTGCTTGCAATGCAGGCAACCTCCTACCAGGTAATCCTCTGTACCAATAGAGAGTGTTGCTGACAGTACCCAACACCTGAACTCTGCACACCTACAGCTCCCCAGGGATTAGCACAGCAGGATGCTGAGGACTCTCCTGTTTCCAACACTGTTCTATCTTTGCTGGTGACCACCAACGAACACAGTTTTGCAAAGCCAAATGAAACCCATTCCGTGACAAAGTAATTCACCAATTTCCATGCACAGGCTCTTGTGCCTGTACACTTCACTAACTCATCTTGTAGCAATGACACCTACCACCAACTTTGCTTTCACTGACCCCTGTGTGCTGCTCCATGGCACAGAAACAAACTTACAGGCAACAAGTGCTTTGCAAAACTCAAGTGAGCATACCTCCTGTACGTAAGAGGCAGAATAACACATAGTTAGCAACAGAGAGAAAACAAGAAGCTCTATAAAACTAGCTAATCCAGTCTGGCAGTTCTACTGTACCAACAAGAGTTTTGCAATAATTTCTCTTAAACAAGGGAAGTTCCTTGAGCAACACACTTTGACCAAGACACTTGTCGTTACCAAAGTGTGTTCGTTTCTTCCTCAGAAAACTTCTGGACACTTCCTAAATCTGGCTCCAAAGTTATGAAATCCTTCTAGGCCAGGACTATGCAGTGTGTGTTGGTGTCAGTGGAAAGACAACTGCAGTATGCTGCTCTCAGGACTGCAATGCCCTACAGCAACGACACAGGGGGGGCTGAGGAACTGCTTTTAGGCAAGGCAGTGCAGGGAAAGGAGGGGAGAAAACCAAGATCCTTCAAGAAAACACTTGGCTCCCATAAATCCCCTCCTTTTCACTCTTAAGAGGAGCTACAAAAGCCTTCTTTGCTCACTGAAGAAGTGAAGTTTCTGTCTGGTAGATTTGCTTTCAAATATGAATGGCCTCACAAAGAACAACGGGTTTGTTCTGCAGACATCAGATATGCATAATCCATTTTCCACCATTTCACCTACTAAACTGACATCAGGTTTAAAAATAGAGGACAGAATGATGCAATCACTGACTCCTTTCATCTGACCTTCTGTTTTATTTCCAGAACTGAAGAGAAAGTGCCATATGTAATGAGTCTCACTAAACCAAATCTGTATTAAACACCAAATTTTCCATGAAGACAGAAAGACCTATCTCTGCTCAGTAGTTAAAATCACAAAATTACTTCCAGTCACTAAGCAATGTTAAATATCTTTACAAAGTGCAGCTCTATCATTTAAAAATCTGTGTTGTTCCTAATCATCTAACATAGAAAACACACCCTGAGGACTGCAAGATATGCACTGCACCAGTGAATGTAGGATATTCCAGAGACAGAATCATGCACCCCCTTTGCCCTCAGCTCCACAGGCTGACACATCTCTTTTGTGCTCTGCTTGCTTCTGCTGCACTCATTCCCACCAAACATGACACCTACCAATTATACCACTGCAGCTTAAACATTCTGAGGGGAAAACACAAACAAACAAAATAACCCATAACCTAAAAAAACCTCACAGAAACCTGGGAAAAATCTGCAAATGAAAATATGAACATGACTCCAGAAACACTGTAGCTTAACACTGGAGCAAGAGCAAAATTAAGAAAGAAAAGAAAGTATTTACCAGGTCTTACAATGGTTGGAATGACAAATAAATTTGAGTGTTATTGCTGCTGTTGAGTAGAGGCATCAGGACACCTCCTGCTCACCTTCTTTTAAAGTCCACTTGATTGCTCCTGTCCTCTTGCTGACAGCATGCAAACTCCCATCGAGGGTTGAAACAAACAGCAGCGTTTCTGGCACAGTTACTGAGCTGGTGCTCTGCAAAAGAAAAACCATATGCTCAATATCATTATTTACTACAGAGTTTACTCATAACTGACACACAGTACATGGGCTAGGACGTCCCTTCCTTTGAGTGTACACACCAAACAACCTTCTTGACTTTTTGAATCAGTGATTACTTTTCGTTTGCCGTTGCCACGATCAAACTTACTGCGCTAGGTTCCCCTAGAAACAAACTGGGATTTGCTTTAATTCAGCCTCCACTTCCAATTTTATATCAAAGTCTTCTTGCTCTAGAGCTGGAGGAGATCCACACTGTTAAGCCTCTTCATTGTGTTTTTATGCCTTGTGTCTCCCCACACTGTATTCCTTTAGTAGGGAAATAACACTGTGTAAGGAGGTCTCTGTGTATGAACACACCACAGACATTTCTGGGAAAGCTGTAGGGTTCAAACCTCAACTTCACATCCTAATCACTCAGCCCTGGGACATGTCACTCTTTACACACAGGGTACAGAGCTGTTTGTGCCAGCTCTGCCCTCCAGCCCAGGCAGCTCATGAGCACTGCAGAGCCTGGAGCTGTATCAAAGGGAACACAGACAGAGGACTCAGAGCTATGCAGTCACTGTGGGAACACTGAGGCTAAGTCCAAGGGGTTTCAGCACACAGAGCAGGACAAAGTTGTTAATTTAATGTCTATTCTTTCCATCTAAAGATGATCCCATGCACACTAAGACTTATTTCCATTTTGGTCTCAAGTTTTGGTTCAAGTAACTTGTCATTTGTAGACTGTATCAGCACTGCTCATCTGTGTGCCACCTGCCACATGTGAGAAGTTTCACAGTTAAATATAATCCTTAACCTACCACACGGAATGAGAGTGTATGTATTTTACATAATTAATCATGTCCTTGATGACTCAAATGGCAAAAACTAATTATCAGTCAGGTTAGAATTACTGCAAAGCAAAATACATAATTGCCAAATTAAAAGGAATCATTTTCTTCAAAAAATTATACAATATAGTGCAATTCAGCTAGAGCATTAGACTTTCAGGTAAAGCTAAAAGGAAAATACAATACAACAATAACTTGCCAACATTCAGGTTGCAACTGTAAATATTGTACATGCTTCTGTCATAATCAGCTGGAGCAGACAAGTGTAAAATACACAGTGCAGAAAAAATGGAAGTACAAATCAGCAACACAAACCATAGACTGGCAGGAACTGATGAAGTCCCGAAAAAAAAGGAGATGTACCTTAACACATAAATATAACTTTCATTACCTGATGTAATTAGATTATGCAGCTTGCACAGATATCTGCACTTCAATGAAATATTTACAGCTGCATCTGGGACCAAACTTTGCCATGTCTGTTCAGACAGGGACAGTGAGTAACAGTTTCTCCCATGCTGCCCTATAAAATATGCAGCTCAAGACATTACTAGTCAGAACTGAAGAGTAGCTTTCTAACCTCATGAGCTGATTGCTATGTAAGGGCAAAGAGGAGCTCTATTGTAAAGCTATGAGTTCTCCTTTAATTAAAGCAAACTATTGTAGCCACTTCATCAAAGAAATTCATGAAAAATTTGTCCTTTAGATCTTTTTGTACACAAACTCCCAAAGCAACTCAGAATGGTGTAGTTGATTTATTATCTAGTCCAGTTCCCATTTCCTTAGGCACTGGACAAGTCAGAGCCACTGACTGCAGCCAGAGGGGGAAGACACAGCCACCACCACCAATCTGCTCGTGGGCTCAGTGACCAGTGAGACTGCACCTAGAGGGACACAAGGCTGAGCAGGAACACTCAGCTGCTAAAGACAGGAAATCAACTTATTGACGTTCCTTTAAGCTGCAGGTGGGAATCTGACACCCAGGATGGAATGACTAGTGCTGGAGTTTAGCTGCAAATGAAATACAACAGAGAGCAAATCCACCACATCTGCTGTGTGGTGGATTTCTAGGCTTTTCTAGGCTACTTCTTATTCTCTGCACAAGTTTTATCTTTCATCTTCTTATCATACAGAATCTGCATATTCTTCACAAAGCACCTTCCTGTCTTCTGACTGAGAAACAAACAAACCTGTGTCATCCTCACCACCAATGTGCCTGTGAAACAGCCACCATGAGTGTGGTTGGGTATCACCTATCAGGAATAGAGAGCACATGGAACAGCACCTAGAGATCCCTAAATTTGACACTTTCCTATTTAACACTTGAGGATCTATTTGTTGTGGCATCAGGGCTACAGCAATTATGGAAAGAAATGTGACCTCTGAAACGCTTATCAAAACATCACTGACCAGTTTTGCCTTTAGATTACCAACATTTCAGAAGGTTGATAGGGTTAGGGACCAAAGTATGAACCTGCAAAGGGTTTCTCTGCACATTCTGCATTCTGAGTATGAAAACGTTTCCATACACTTACCCTCCAGTCACTTACAAGCTGAACAGCAAGGAAAGAAAAGTACAGCTGCAGAAGTCACTCATGGAAACTCTCCTGAAAACCAGATGAACACTTGAGAGTTGCCCACAGGCAGAACGACCCAGAAAGCTCTCAGATATGACTAAAATCATGAAATCACAACAGCTTTTTTTAAGCTTTTCAGGGAAGGATCCTTGATGTGGTCACTGCAACCTTGTGTGCCAACGATCCCATCATCCTCTGGGTGAGACTCAGCACAGGGCTCATTTGTTAGCTTTTCTTTACTTCTAACTTTGTACTTGCACACAGATGAAATACATACACTACCACACTGAAAATCTTCCCCTCATCCTTCTCAAAGCAGATGACATCATGCAGTTGAGATTCCCTAGCTGAGCAATACACTGACACTGCTGAAGCTTATGACCTAAACCTAAAAACCCCCAATGATTCCACAGCCTTTGCAATGCAATATTAACATTGCTCATTTATTTTGAGCAGCATCTCAGCAGCCACTTGGGGAAGGCTGGGGAGTTAGTGTAACAGCATGGAAACAAGGTCTCATTCCTTCCAACTGTATCAAATAATAGACATAAAAACAAACAGGCAATTTTATTTCTAAGATACAACAATATAAGAAAAATATCTCAGGACATGAAAGAGCTAAGCAAAAAGAACTTAATTTAGTGAACAAAGGAAACAAGACAGAAGGAAAACCTGGTTTGGTTCTTCTTTCACTTCAGCTGAAACTGCAGCAGCATCTATTTTAACAACTACCCTCTTTGGAATTCGGTAAGAGCTTTGACTGCCTGGAAAGTCTGTGCTCATAACAATCCTCCACAGTGACAATGATCTTAAGTGAAGGGTTTACAATACTCTGAAGGTCCTCAGTGACTGCTTTAGCATTAATTTTTAATAATTTATTTCAAAAGACAAATTTTCAAGCTCTCATTGGGTCCAAATTTGACAGAAGCACTAAAGTGCTGACCACTAATAACCCTAACAGCCTAAAATTTGGGATTAAACAGAAAATGTAATTTTAAAGCTGAAATAGAAATATATTATCTAATAAAAATAGAAATGCACTTTAAAAATACTAGTTAACCCTCGCACAGGAATCTTCCCCTCAGCCCAGACCTACCATATCTTTAGATAAAATGTGTTAGAAATCCAAATAACCAAAGGACTCTGAAGGACCCCTGAAGTCACAGGGAGGTCAGCAAAAGCTGTAGAACAAGTTCTGGGGGGTGTGTGTGTCTGTGGTACAGTTCAGTGTCACAGAGATAACATCTTCCTTCACCAACATTTCAAATGTTGTTAAGGGTTAGCAAAGCAATGCCCTAGTTTGGTTTATTGTGTTAGGAGAAAACAGAACCCCACAGGAATCATTCTGTCCATTAATTCATCTGCTTCAACCCAGCACGTTTGAAATGCAGGTCACCACGTAGCACAAACCCCCCCAAGTCAGAGGAAACAGCAAGAAAAACAGGGCACTCAGCTCCTTGAGGTTCCAGCCCCTCAGAGACCTGCCTGGCTGTGGGGTGATGCCACCCCAGCACATCCTCACGGGTGAGCAAAGAACAGAACACACTCCAGTCACACTGATGTGTGCAGGGTGTGCTGACTCGGGGCTGGCACTCATTTCACAGACAGAGATGAGGGCTCACTAGTAAACAAATCTCTCCCATGCCTTAGCAGGTAAAGAACCATCTCTTTTCTGAGTCTGAAGTAGCAATACACACACACCAAACAATGTGTAAGGGCTGATGGCTGATAAAGGGTGGATGATTTGCAAACTGTAATTTGTTTACAGCCTCATAATTTCTTAAGTAATGCCTGGCTTACCAGACCAAAATATTGACAAGATAAACAATCACTCAAGGAAAAATAATCTATATTCCTCACTCCCTGAGTGTATACACATCACGCTGCACATTTGCATTTCACTATTATAAACCAACCTCAGCATCTGCAGCACCAGACACTTTGCTCACAATATGAAAGGGCCTATACCATAATTTACACCACTGGAACCACAGCAATAAGGATGCAAAGCAAAATATTTTTAGACATTAGCACACACTGCAAGCACTTGGCATATTCATCACAGACAGCCTATGATTCATTACCCTAGTTTTGACAGCTATCTCATTACTCTGCCAGGCTACAGGCTAAAACTCCCTGTGCATAATAAACCACGGCATGAACAAAGTCTTTGTAAAATTCAGTAAACTACTGGGGGGAATCCTTTGGTATAACTAATAATGAGGTTAATATATGAAAGAGAGCTGTCAGAAAATACATTTTATCTCCTTTAGAAAGCTAAACCGAATGTACAGGTCTTTTAAACTGAATTCCAGCTTGTCTCTGTTAGCTCTCTCCTCACGCTGTAACCCAGTTCAGTGACTCCTCATTCATCCACCCATTCATACTGCAATGGCAAAGGCTGAAAACTCCCGAGGTCCTACCCCAGCTGTGCTCTGCCTGGACTGACCAAGCACTCCCAGCTGAGCCTCCACACTTGATTCTCTCTGTAAAACCCAAACTTATTCCAACAGTCATAAGAACATCAGCAACCCCAATTGATTAGGAGGGCTAAGTTATAAACACA